GAACTTGTAATGAATCCATGGAAAGTCTATGATAACTACGAATAATTCATGGCAATTAGTTCCATCATGTGTTCTTTTTGTAAGGAACTAATAGCATGCTTGGCTAAGCCTAAGAACACGCGATGGAATGAAGTTTACTTACTCTCTTAAAATGGTACATTTTCGAAATGACTAAAAAAAATTTCCCAAATAAAGTAACTTCTATAAGAGCTCAATCATGTTTGGGCAAAAAATGTTAATTAAAATTAGCTTCACATTGTGAGGCTTAGCTAAACATGCTCTAAAGTTGTGTATCTGAATCAGATGCTTTGACATCTACCTTAAGCATCCTAAATAGAGAGAATACACGAGAACCATCTTGGCAAAGATTTGAATGTTCAGGGAAAAGAATACTTTACTCGTACTAAGAGAGAGATGCCTATGAGATTTAGTTGACTTCGTAGCTTTAAAATCCTTTTAAACTCAGCTTCATGTAGTTGGAGGTTCTAGTTTTTCATAAGCAGTCAAGTATAAAAACATACCCAGTCACTATCAGGTCCAGAACCAGGTACCAACACGTTGATTTCACTTGACTTTGCTGTCGTTATAGAAGCCTCCAAAGAATCTTTGCTCAAGTACAACTGGCAACCTGCCGTATTGTCCACTGAAATTGTTGGAGCCGAGCCCTACAAAGACCAATTTGCAAAGAAAAGATGGCACATTAGTTTTATGCAACTAGAAGTGATGGTTTTTATTCTTGACAGCCAAAAGGCAGAATTTTTTGACGAGAGGCCACATTCTAATATCTGAACTTCGTCATAGTAAAATAACTGAAAAAGAAAATGGAATATCTCCCTTATTCCCTCGTCTCCACCCCTATCCAAACCCTTTCTTACAACATCATCAAAAAGGAAAAGAAAAAATCACGAGAAGCCATCATAAGATCATCCAACTTGGGTAAACAAGATAATTATTACCTGACATTGCACCTCCACAGCACTGCAGTTGACAATCTCACAAGCTGCCACAACATCCTAGTTATCAATTCAAACAAGTGAGTTGATCTTATATAATACAACTTCCAACTTTAGGAAAAAATTGCTGTTTAAAACAATTTCCTCACTGACCATGAATACAAGCCCCATCTTAGTGCACTTGTCTATTGTAATGTTGTTCACTTTCCCTGCAGAGGGTTATGCCGTTATGCTCGTGTTAAGCTTCATGACTATAGTAAACCTCTCTACTCATACAATTGTTACTCGTTTTCGGCTAAATTGTACACCTGTGAAGGATTTATGCGCTAGCAAAAGAAGATATACCTTGGATCTGCACAACTGAATCTTTGCAACCAAAGATATACACAGACTGCTTTGAATCACAATCTTTAATCAGCAAATTCTTTTGTCCAATTTGATTCTCAACCACCCATCTGCATGCATTGTAACATGTAGCTGAAAAAGAAATTTAAACTTTAGCACAATGTGTCTACGTGTAAGTATCACATATCACTTACTTCCGACCCATTTGGAGCTCGAATTTGGGAGGTCCAGCTTTCAAGAGAGAAGGCGCACCACCGTCTCCTTTCTTAGCAACACTCACAACACCAGTTCTATCTGCACGGTTCTTGGTTTTCATGTCATTTGTGACCTTTTTCAATCCTAGAAGGAAAGTAAAGAAACAATATAAGGGAAAATTCACAGGAATCTGATAAAGAGAAAAACAAGGCAAATCAAAAGTGCGAAAATTACCAGAAGTTACCGACTTTCCAGAATTAATTTCCTGAAATACAGCAGCCATTCCTTCCTTTGGATGTGCTGATGAGGGCAGAGGAGTTTCAGAGCTGGATAGTGAAGCAGGTGGAAGAGGTGGAGGAGGAGGGGCACCTGGTCCTCGTGCAGGAGCTTTTGGCGGGGCAGATGCTGCTGTCTTCCCTGTGGCACTCCATACAGGGCCCAATGGGTAGTGACTCTTCACATAATCCCTCAAGCCCGGTACATAAAGCTCCTTTAAAGCCTTTGCCCACTCAACATGATTTGAATCTTTATTTCTATATTCCACGAGTACCTGGCAATAAATAAAAATTAATCATCAGAACTTTCACACTTGAAATGTTCCGGGGCACATAAGTGGCAGTACGATTTTGCCTCACAAATGGAAGAAAAATGGTGTAGAATTTGAAATTAATGCAATGAAAAGCAAAAACAACATATTAAAGGTACCTTAATTTCAAGCATCGCTCTCATTTTATTAGATAAAAGATATATTTTTGCTTATCAAAATGTCAGTGACAGATGAAGGACCTTTTCCATAAATAAATTAGTATTATTAAAAAATCTCATAGAGGTATATTGATTCATAAATATGGCAAGACCTTTAAATGTTGACAAAAAAATTCTGCCTAAACACTTTCCTTTTGCATCTAAAGGAAAATTAATTTAACTGCCATATTTCTAAGAAGCTAGCTACATGTAAAAGCATTTTATGAGTTCAGTTATACACTGGTAGCATTACATTTCCGTATTACAAGAAATACTGATAATGATTTTTTGATTGTTCCTTATCCATGTAATGAATCCTATATGTTTTGGAGGTTTTAAGCACGAAGATAGTAAAATAAATCATTGTCGATGGATTCTATTATGGATTTTTGACCACACATGTAAAGGTATTTATACTTTTATAAACATAGATCCAGCATCTAAACAAACATGAACATATATTCCCGCGTCAAATTATGTCTTCTTTCACGAAAAGTACCGAAAATAGAACTATGGAAAACAAAATGACAGTATACAAATATGTTTTGAATAGAAAATATTGAATATAAACAGCCACAGTAGCAAACTAAGCCTTATTCCCAACTAAGTTAGAATCAACTGCATGAGACATGTTTCTCCACTCTATTTCATCCATCAATAGATATAAAGGAAGCTTAACCTGTTCTCTTATCCTGGTACGATGCGGCAAAAGTACATCTTAATCAGCACAATAAGACTACTACTACCGCCATCAAAAGGAAACAAGGAGCAAGGGAGGGAGAAATCAAAGACGTTGCACACATTAGATATAAAGATAAGTTCCATTTTCTTTATAAATTTTTCTTCGTAGTGATGAAGATGGTCACTTAGATTAGGGAGGGGAACTGGGGGTGGATTAGAATCATTACCTTATTGCAGTAAAATTCAGCCATTTGCCAACTTTCTTCCACATGTGCAATAGGCAAGCTCATACCTATAATTAGAGAGTACATTAATTGTCCAAGCAAAAAAATTAACTAATTCAAGAATTAAAGGCACAACAGTTGATAATTTTTTCTTACCACAATCTTTCCCTGCATATGCTATCCATGCCAGAGCAGTAAGACTGTCAGCACCAGTCTTCAAGTGGTGAAAGAAGTCAGGTCGTCTACCTTCTGTCAATGCAGTAGCTTTCTTAATAAGATCATTCAAAGGCTTAAGAAACTCCACCAGCCCTGCCATGTCAGGTTTCTGCACATTTCAAGTATGCAAACTGAGCACAACAGTGACAGGGGAAAGAACAGAAAGAAGACATTTAAAAATAACTCAAAATAATAAAAGAAAAATGTCCATTTCATTAGAAACCCAAAATAATAATACAAGTTGTTCGCCAATATTAATGTACATCATAACGAAACACCATTCAGCTTCGACCACACTTATTTTCCTATATAATAAAAGAATTGCTCTCGGATTTCGGCAGAATAATAAAAGAAACAGAGAGAATAGTAACATGGTGCCAAAGGATGAAATGTTCTAATAATGACCGCTGACCGGCTTTAATAACAAAATCATGGCACTATGCTATCCACACCATCAATGATTAAAATGGAACTTCAAAAATCCTATTCCAAATTCAAACTGTTATGCAGTTATAAGAAGTTTAAGCTAAACAACATAGAAAATATTGAGATCAAGGCCTAGCACAAGGGGTAAGAGCAGGTAAGTGACCTAGGTTCGAGTCTCATTTGAGGGGAAAGGGCGAAATTCAACCAAAAAAAAAAAA